GAATTGTAAAGTGCCTTGAGATGACATGTGTTGTGAATAGGCGTTATATAGATAAACTGAATTGAACTGGAGGGACAGCGGCGTCGGATGCAGTAGTTTGCCCTGTGACCAGAGGGTTGTCGGTTCAAACTCTAACATTCAGTGTCCCCATCACCCATCGGATGGGAGTCAGAGGGCCTGGTGGTGCCTGTGTGTAGCAGCCTGGCTTCTGGCAGTAAGCCCAAGGGCAGCTATGGCTACAGTGTAGCTCACCGCCATCAGTGTCAGAGTTAATGTGTGAATGCAGTTTTTTGTTCAAGTCTCCTGACTTGGAAAAGTGCTACATAAAAACAGACCACCATCATTTATTTCTAACCGGCATCTTGTGAGCAACTGAACTCTGCCTTCATCACTGTCAGTAAATATATATTAGTATAGATATTATCTTATTTCTTTAAGTCATTCTTCAAAGTCAAATGTAAATTTTTTCTCTAAAGCTCCACATCTGAGCTAACTGGCTGTTTGTCCAGGTTCATTATCTTAAAGAACAGAATTACCTTTATTGTTGGCACCAAAGTGTCAATCTGACTTTTTTTATGTTACAAAGTTAATTCTTCTGTGCTCCCATCCAAACAATTCCAACAATTACATTTCGGTTATATTTATTGATCCCAGTTTCTGAAACTAACAGGATGCACAGGCCAGTTTGTTGGTTTGGTTAAAAAGGTTCACTGGATGACAAAAACTAAAAACACTTCAGAAAAACATTCAGATAATGATAAGAGGATTAGATATCTTACTTCTTATCTCTTAGTTGCACTAAAAGGGTTTCTGGAATGTGATTGAATGAGATTGTTTGTATTCCGTATCATTTTTCCTTGGTTTATTGCTATGTTGACCAGATTCAAAATTAATCGCCCCTTTTTTTAGGATAAATAAGGTTGTTTGAATTAAAATGAATTTGAAGTCAATGTGAGAGGTAACTCTCCAGATATTACAACAATACAGAAGTGAGGCTGGTGCAAAAATATGGGCACAGAGCAGTTTCTTTGGTTAAGGAATCTGATCGGAATTAAGCTCCTTTAGTAAATGAACCCAGAAGGATGATTAAGTCGGTTCAGCTTCATTAAAATTTCTTCAGAGACGTTCCTTTTTAGGAACAAAGAGACTTTCTGCAGCCAGTCAGCAGGATAATAAACTAAGGAGCAAAGCGATTATAAAGCGTTCATTGTGTTTAACTGATTTAAATGGGTTATTAGGCTCTTAAAGGTTAGAGGAGCAGAACCAGATTTGATCTTGTGGCTCTTTTGACCTTTTTTTATGACTCGTGCAGCAATTAAAGGAGCGGGAGAAGGGAAGGTTACTGGTTTAACTGGAACTTGAGCGAGCATTGCGATGGCAGTTTTGTCTGTTGGATTAAATGAATGTTTGTCTCTGTGCAACTCATCAGTCTCCATATCTAATTCCTCCAAAACTCTATGGAGTGAATTTGTTCCACTGTTGTTGCAAGCAAAAAACACATTTTGCAAATGGAAACCTGAAACAAAAATCAGAAATGAAACTTTTGACAAAGATTTAACATCAAAGTTACTCTAAAACCTTTTTTTTTTTTTTTCAAGAAAGATTTTAGCATAACTGATGTTTTCTCAGATTTGATCTTTTATTTTTTTTTAATATTATTTTTCTGTTTTACTATTTTATTCTTTCATATTTCTCTTTTCCAGATTGACTTTTATGCATTTGAAATTCCCTTCACTTCAAGCCCAATACAATGTTGTCGCTAACATCCAGCTGACCAATGGAAAAGTGTCTTTGCTCCTCGCTCCAGGGGAAAGTCTGCGCCCAGAAGTGCAGAGAGTGTGATCTGGAAAACATAATCTGAAAAGAATACAATTCTTACACCTCAATCTGAACAAGAGAAATTAGAGAAAATAATATTTGTACATTTAAAAGGTTAAATGTACAAAAAATGTTAATTTGAAAAAAAATCAAAGAAAAAAAAAAATCAGAGAAAACAGCAAAATTTGTCTCAAAAACCTTTTTTTGTTATTTAGAAGTTTAATAAATTTCATCTCTGGGTTCCTTTTTTTTCAAAATGTCAATTTTCAAAACATGTTCTTTGTTTTGGGCAACAATGGAACCAAATTCCCTCCATGACACCAGTTTCTAACAGGATGCAGAAGTTGTAGGAAGGAAAGGCTGAGGTTTGGGTCAATAAATTCCTATACAAAATCCTGAAATTATAGGATCTGGATACTGATGTTATCAGAACCAGAACCTTCTCCTGGAATATTCCCCTTGACCTCCTCTTCCATTTTAAAACCTTCTAATTATTAAATGCGGCTTTGAAGGGAAGCAGGGCTGGTTGTGAGGGAGATGGGGACGGATATGCAAATGAACTGTTTTGCATATAAAATGCTCCGGCTCCAGAATTCCAGGGTAATAAATTGCTCCGAGTCGGAGATGGCGCCGGCGTCCCCGGGGCGATCCCATGGTCATTAAGTATCTGGATGTAGCGAGGCCGACAGGAAGTCAGTAATTCACTGAGAGACAGAATTTACACCAAGATAAAATCCAAACTGAGAGAAATGAAGAGGGAGGAGAGGAGTTTAGAGATAAGGGAAGACAGAGAGAGGAAGAGGAGGAGTGAAGCTTACAAATGAAGAGTAGATCAGAACCATGACTGCAGATGCCACCTCAGTCAGGAAAACGACCATGATGATGGAGAAGAACTGCAGGGGGACAAAACACAGGGCGTTAGGAGAGGCGAACATGTGGGTTTTTATCTGCCTGGTTCTGTTGAAGTTCTCCCGACATCGCTGCAGCTTCCAGGTGGACATGATGGGACTCTGTAGGGGGGGACGCGCTGCTCGTTAAACCTGCTGCAGCGAGCTACGAGGCAGTTAGCCTCATCATTAACAAGCAGGATAATGTGAGCTTTGCTGTTCAGGGCGGCTGATGATCCGGGTCGGACCATAAATCCAAATACGGTTTCTTAATTTGTGCAGCTGAGGTCAAACATTAATTAGTTTCAGTCAGAAGGTTTCCATTTGGTCTCAGCAAAACTTTTCAGCTATAGGCTGGACTTTGACTAGACCACTGCATGTTGGTTCTCTGCTTTTTCAAATGTTCTGTTGTGGTTCTGCTGCTGCTTAGGATCATTGTCCTGTTGGTGACCCAATATGAACCAAATGCTTCTGGGACAACCCAATGCAATCCACCGCCCCCCATGTCAGCGTGAGTTAAAATGGCTGAAATTCTGTTTGGTTTCTCCAAACGTGGCCTCGTTGGTCTCACTGTCCATAAAACAAGTCTTCAGAGGTTTTATTCTTAATCTAGATTCAGCTTTGGAGAATTAACTCCTGCTGACATCTTGTTTTTAGAGAGGATTCTCCTTTAGCACTTCCTAACAGCCAGACTGGTCCATGTGGATGACCTTTACCCTTTGACCTGCTAACCTTTAGGCTGAGCTCTTGAGTTTTAGGTTGTTTCCAAGGTCTTCCAAATCTACTCACCGTCAGAAGGAGAAACTTGCTTTCCTTATGAGCCCCACAGCTTCCCAGAAGTCCCAGCACCACTAGCGCGGTCCCCATGGCGATGCAGAAAAGGCCCACATTAATGAACGTCAGGTAGTCTTTGGAGAAAGGCCACAGGAGATGCAGGAAATGATTCCCATCCACAGTCACCCATATTCCCAGTGCCAGAAGAGTCAGACCAATCAGCTGCAAGAGAAATACAGATTTCAGTCGGATGTTGAAAACTGTTAACGAGACCAGGAATGGATCTTAAAGTGTTAATTATTGGACATATATATCACTAGATATTAAATAACCAAACTCAGACTAAATAAAGAGAGAAACAACTCCACATTAATCAGCTGTTATTCCCAAATTTTAGTTCCTGTGTTAAGTTTTTCCTTATTTATGTAAAAAGGCTCCCGTTTTTTATTACATAAATGAATGGATTAATTAAATGATGAATGAATAAAACACTTTTTTTCAAACAAATCAGTAAAAAATGCAAAAAAATGATTCTTTGTTAAAGATTCAACATGCAAAGATTGATAACCTATCTAACTGTTATACATATAATTTAGTGCTTATGTCTGTTATGTAAATATATAGTCCATAACAGCAGCAATATTTCCAAATTCCTATTTAACTCACTAGTCCATACTGCTCCAAAGGTCCATTAGGTGAGCAAATAAACTCGTTTATATATTTATAAAAATACACAACTCACATCTATGCCCATCTTCTTTACAACA